TCTCTCTTTCTCTCTTTCTCTCTTTCTCTCTCTCTTTCTCTCTTTCTTTCTTTCTTTCTTTCTTTCTTTCTTTCTTCCTTCTTTCCTTTCTTCCTTTCTTTCTTTCTTTCTTTCATAACAGACTCTCAGAGAAGGGAACTACCCAGTGTGGGCTGCTCTCAGGGAAGGCTTCATGGAGGAGGTGAGATCATAAAGCTAGAAGAGATTCTAGAGAATACGAGAATGTACTCATGTATACTCAGAAAATATTCCATATTTAGAGAATACCTCCCATAGGAAGTATGATCTCCTCAAAGCAGATTCAGCTGTTGTAGAGGGTCTTGAATGCCAATCTAAGGTATAAAGAATATAAGCCCATCAAGGTGTGGAACTATTTTACTTTTGGCTTTGTGTGCCCAGAAACTAGTACCATGCCTGACACAGAGTAGGTGCTTAATAAATGCTTATTGATTGATTGATTGCTACTTCTCATCTTTTCTCATTTACCAGATACTTAAATGGTCTCTTAGCCAAATAGCTGGAAGGAACCACCAGAAATTAAGCATCTCAGTCTCTGACTCCATGGGACTGGTTTTTAAATAGCCAAGAGAGATTATTTCCCTTCTTCTTTTAGAGGTCTGTCACAATGGACCATCTGTGTCTGTCTCTGGCCACTTGTCAGAGTGTTTAGCCATCCTTAATTTGAGAGGGTACTATCAATCATTCAGCACTGATTAAATGCTTACTGGACACCAGGCTACTTACTATGTGCTGGGGATAGAACATGTACAATCACCACCAAGTATTTAGTAAGCACCTACTATGTGCCAGGCACTGTTGGTCCCTGGGCATACAAAGACCAAGTAAAACAGTCCCTGCCTTCAAGGAGCTTCCAGTTCTGTCCGCGTCTTCACTTAGTGAGCCGAGAGGCATTTTCCTTGCCTTCTGGTGCAAGCAAGTCACAGAGATGGTCAGCTTGGAGAGGCAGCTTTAGGAGATGCCGTCTGTTCTAGCACGGCAAAGCAGGCAGCTTTGTTCCCAGCAGGGAGCCAGGATCACTTCTGAGAAAAGAGGTTGACTGCTGCCTTGGCTGCGAATGACCCCGGTGTTAACTGCCCTGAATACTTTCTTGGAAAAATCTTTCCTACTCATATCAACCCGTGAGAACTAACACTGTCCCTCTCCCTCCTCCCTCTGTCTTTCCATCTCTCCTTCCCTTCTCCTGTTCCATGGCTCATCTGTGTTAGTCTCAGACACCCTGATCACATCCTTCCTCAATTGTCCTGAATGTTCTTTTTAATAGATTTTTATGGTTTTTAAAGCATGACCTCGATTTCTTCCTGCCCCTCTCCCCTCTCCATTTCTTCCCTTCCTGATTCTATCTGCTTCACTCTGCATCAGCTCACATGACTTCCCATGCTTGTCCTTTTTCCTGGAGTTTCTTGTGATTCAGGAACATGAGATATTTATTTTTATAAGATTCCAACTCAAGTCAGCAGGTATTTATTGAGTCCCGACTGTGTGCCATCAGTCTATACCTCTCCTCCATCCCCCAGTTACACTAAGCTGTGATTTTTGACCCAACAGAAAATTAACTTGTCTTTTTCCTCCAATAGGGGCAGCTAGGGGGCTCCATGGTGCACAGAGTGCTGGACCTATAGTCCGGAAGACCTCAGACATTAGTGTGACCTTGGGCAAGTCACTTAATCCTGTTTGCCTCAGTTTCCTCATCTGTAAAGTGAGCTGGAGAAGCAACTGGCAAACCGCTCCAGTATCTCTGCCAAGAAAACCCCAAATGGGGTCATGAGGAGTTGAACATGACTGAAACAACTGAACGACAAATTCCCTCCAGTAGAATTTGCGTCTTTAAATGAAGTGATGCAATTGTGATAATTCTAGAAAGAAGTCAAGTTAATTATGTCCAGGAAGTACGTGCTGAGGTCCCTTGAGTGCCCAGCCTTGTTCTAGTCACTATGGGGAAGGCAAGGGAAGGGAAAGACCCATTCTCTAAGGTCAGGCAGTTAGTAATCTGATAGGGAGGATGAGACCCAGGGGAATGATCAGAGAACAATAGGAAAGACTCAGGACCTCCAGCTGGGACCGCCCAGAGGAGTAAAAGCACGGATGCTGGAGATCTGCCTTGTGATGTCTACACAAGCAGTGGCACAGCTCCCCGAGGCTCTGAGTCAGAAATTTGCTTCCTTTCTATATCAAGGCTCTTTGGGGGCTGAGCTCCAGAAATGACAGAGGCCATTAGCCCAGACTGTCCTAACATCATAGGACGATAGAGCTAGAAGGAAGCGGAGAAGTCATCTGGCCCTGCGCCTCCCCCGACATAGTCCAGAAGGGGCCAAGCCGAGATTAGAATCCAGGTCTCCTGACTCTCATTTGGCACTGTTGTTCTCTTCTCCAAGGGCCGGGATTATGATTAGAATACAGGTTTCTGTTAAAGTATTAAGCACTCCCCCACCCCCACTGACACGTCAGGCTTCATTTGCCCTTACTGGTTGCTACAAAGTTTGGGGCTCAGGAGTGATTTTCTTTCTTCCTTATTTTTATTATTTTAATTTTATTAATATCTTGTTTTTGCATAGCTTTCATTTCTGAATACATTCCTTTCCCTCCCCTACCTGAAGGTCCATCTGTTGTTACAAAGAATTTTTTTTTTTTTTTTTTTTTGGTGAGGCAGTTGGGGTTAAGTGACTTGCCCAGGATCACACAGCTAGTAAGTGTCATGTGTCTGAGACTGGATTTGAACTCGTGTCCTCCTGATTCCAAGGCCAGAGCTCTATCTACTGCGCCACCTAGCTGCCCCATTACAAAGAATTTTTAAAAAGAAAAAAAAGCAGTTTAGAAAAGCTAACCAGAACATCTGAGTCTGACAGCATATGAAGTGTTTCCCACCCATGTTACCCCACCTCAGCAAAGAAAGGACAGCGTTCATATTCTCATCTCTTCTTCAGTCAGTTATAAAACATTATTTTTTTTAACATTTTAATTTATTTTTTTGTTTTTGACATTCTTTTAAAATTTTTAGTTCCAAATTCTCTCCCCTCTTCTCCCTCCTTCTCCTCCACCCACTGAGAAGGCAATCAATACGATATCAACTATACATGTGAAATCATGCAAAACATATTTCCATATTAGCCGTGTTTTTTTAAAAGCAAGAAAAATAAAGTGAGAAAATTATACGTCAGTTTGCACTCAGAGTTCATCAGTTCTCTTTCTGGAGGTGGATAGCAATTTTTCATCATGAGTCCTTTAATCAGTCAACATTTTAAAAGCACCTCCTATGTGCCAGGCACTGAAGTTAAGTTCTGGGACGTGGTCGTTTCCGTAGCACTCCCCCCCACCCATTTGTGTTATATTTATTGCATGTATTGTTTTCTTTGTCTTACTTTTTGCTTTCTATCAGTTCATGCAAGTCTTCTTATGCTTCTCTGAAATCTTCACACCAGTCGTTTCTTTCAGTGTATTACATTGTATTCATGTACTCCAGTCTAGCCAGCCCCAAGTCCGTGGACATCCACTTTGTCTCCAGTTCTTTGCTGTGACAGGGTCAGAAGCCATTTTTGGCGTCCCAGAAGCCCCTCAGCCTTCTTCACTCCTTAAGATCTGTGAAACTTGTAGAATGAAACCAGGGTTCCTGGTGGTTTAATTTCAGCCAGGGGGTTTTTACTGAGCAGCTGTTTGCTTATGCTGTCAGCCGGGCCAGAAGAGGAAACACGGACCTCGAGCTCAGGAAACTGGTCCATCGTCTGGCTGGGGAGCCACGACACGGGGGCCAGTGAAATATGGAGAGTGAATGTGGAGTCGGGTAAGGCTGCGGAGGTCACTGGGATGTAGTGGCTGGGGAAGGGCCTCCTGAATCTCAGGGCTGAACATCGTCAGACCTGGGCTGCCTGCCCCGTCTGCCTCCTTAGGATCTTAGAGCAGCTGCTGACACAGAAGATGCCTGGTGGGTGTTTGAAGTTATAGATTGGGCAGAGATGTTTGAGTTCATTTAGTCTGACAGCCTTCTCCTCCCCCCAGTCCGGTCGATAAAGCACGGGGCCAACTCGTGAGGCTCTGGGAGGCGGTGGGTGCGAGGGGGCCTGGGTTCGAATCCCAGCTCTACCCCTTACTCTTTGTTTGACTTTGGGCTAGTCACTTAAGCTCTCTGGGCCTCACTCCTCGTCCGAAAATTGAGGGAGTTGGAACAGACAGTCTCGAGCGTCCTTTTCAGCTTTAGGTTTATGAGCCTTTCCTGATCATTTCATGTCTCCTCCAAAATTATCTTTGCATTTAAAAGTATGCTTATGTATGGATTCATTGTCTTTCCTAATAGAATGTAAGCTCCTTGAAGGCAGGAACAGGCTTATTTTCATCTGTGCAGCCCCAGAACCTGGCATGTGCCTAGGACCCAGAGGCACTCTTCAGATCCCTCCTGTCCGCTCAGTGTTCTTTGTTAGGTAGGGAGCTTCATGTCAAGTGTTGAAGCAGAGCTGACTGGCTTGGGGGGGAGGGGGTTGCTCCACTTGGTGACAGGCTGGACTGGACAGCCGAGGCCCCTCCCCTCCCCTCCCCTTCCCTGTCTGGGACGCTGGGGTTTTGTCCAGATCAGAAGCATCTGTGAAACGGAGTTATGCTGCGGGGTTAGTGACAGCTTGTGAAAGGGTGACCGAGGAAGTGTCAGTGTGTTTGTGGCCACGTGCCGGATTTCCCGTCTGTACAAAATTTTCCATCTCTAAACCCTCCCAGGAATATTTGCCTGGAAAGGGAACTACTTAATCCAGATGAATGGCTTTATAATAGTGGATTTCCAGGCACTTGGTCAGGCCAGTGCAACAGGGGCCCTTCTAACCGCCCCATGTAAACAGCCACCCAGTCTGCCTAGAGCCAAGGCCCGTCTTGCCTGGAACTTCAGCTCAGAATTACTGGTGCTAAGAATAAGCTCCTTGGGGCCCTCAGAGACTTTCTCTTCCAGTGCCTGGAACCTTGCCAGGTGAGTGTGGGCCTCTCAGGGCCTGGTTTGTGACTAACGAAAAAACGCATTAAAGGCTGTTCCTCATTCTCCTTCGTGAGAGGCCGTATGGGGGCAAGTCACTAGATTTATCCGAGCCTCAGTTTCCTCATCCATAAAATGGGGCTGACAATACACTCCAACTCACGGCATCGTGCTTTGTCAACCCTGATGTACTCAGTAAGTTGTGATGCCAAGGAGTCAGGCCTCCTCCTTATTTCAGTTCCCTTTCCTTTAGCATTCCAGGAAGCTACCCTCCCCCTGGTTCCATTCATGATCTAAAAAAGTAAGGCTCCCTGACTGAGATGCAGTGAGTTGGTTGGGGGAAGCTGGACAGGGCCTCCAGGATAAACCTGCCTGGGAGGGGAGGCGTTCACTAGCTTAGCTCCCCTCTGTCATCCTCACCTTCACCACCTGGCCTGCAGAGCCTTCACAGCTTGAACCTGGCCTGTCATCATCGCCTTGTTCCACAGAGCTCCCCTTCCTAGGCTCTGTGGTCCAACCACAGGGACCCGATTCCCGTTCCTCATACGTGGCGCTCCCTTTCCTATCTCTGTACCTCTGTACCACCAGGGACTAGGCACAGGGCATGAGGAAGGGCAGCTACATGGTACAGGCCCTGCTAGGGGTGTGGCAGACGTAGCCACTGGGTTACGTGCTGGGGGTGGGACCAGCCCTAAGAACTGCGACTTCTGAAGCCCCCTGGATATAGGGGAAGGAATTGATAAGAAGGCACCCACAAGTCTCCTCCTTCCCTCTTGAGGCAAATGATCTCCACAGTGCCTTCCAATTCTAACATTCTAGGCTCTCGGGTTCTTTCAAGCTAAATCTATGTTCTAACAAAGTTCCTCCCAGCCCTGACATCCTGTGTTCTAAGGGCCCTCCCAGCCCTGACATCCTGCGTTCTAAGGGCCCTCCCAGCCCTGACATCCTGTGTTGTAAGGGCCCTCCCAGCCCTGACATCCTGTGTTCTAAGGGTCCTCCCAGCCCTGACATCCTGTGTTCTAAGGGCCCTCCCAGGCCATCATGCATGCCAGGAACGGACTCTCTCCCCACCTCCGCCCAGTGGAATACCTATTTTTCATCAAGGTTCAGCATGAGTTCTATCCTTTCCTCCCTGCCCCTCCCCACAATATGCTATTAGTGCCTCATCCCCCTACCCCCAAATGATCTTGTATCTATTTTACATATATGTACTGCCTCCCCCACCCCCTAAAATAAGCCCCTTGGAGGCAAGGACTGTTGTATGTCTAGCATCCGCCACAGTGCTTCCCCACAGTAGATACCTACTGTGACAACTGTTGATTGATTAAACATTTCCAAGGAGGGGACAGGACAGCCAGGGGGCAGAGTGAGTGGATACAGTGCCGGGCCTGGAGTCAGGAAGACCTGAGTTCAAATCTGGCTTCAGACACTTCCTAGCTGGGTGACCCTGGGCAAGTCACTTAACCCTGTTTGCCTCCGTTTCCTCATCTGTAACATGAGCCAGAGAAGGAAATGGCAAACCGCTCCAGTATCTCTGCCAAGAAAACCCAAATGGGGTCCTGAAGAGTGGGACATAACAGAAATGACCAAACAACAGCAACAAAGAGGGGACGTTCTTTTTACTTGGAATAATATTCTCAATTTGGTATAGGAGTTTTCCAAGTATTTTCATGTCCATTATTTCTTCAGCTTTATAGTAACACTTTTCATTTTTAGATTACATTTACCTTTTAAAACTATATATGTGTAGTTATAAAATTATATATCTTTCAAAGATACATTTTGTTGATGGCTTTTAAAACATATCCTAGTCCCTTCTCAGCCCCCTCCAGATTGAATCCTTCCAATTAGGCCAAAACGTCCTCTTCAGAGCCTTGCTGGACGGCATTGTGCTCCGATGGTCCCCCACCTCTTTGCAATGGGGGGAGGGGGAGGGGAAGACGGTGATGTTTGGTGCCTTTTCCTGAAGACCCAAGCTAGTTTTTTTCCATCACTCAGAGTTTAGCTTCTTTGAGCCATCTTTCTGTTCACGCCAGCTCTGTTTCTGCCCACTGCAGTCTTTTCAGTATCGGAATCGATTCCATTTGATAATAACCTCTTCTCTTGCTTTCATGTGAACAGCTCCCTTGTGTAGAGGAAGGCATAGATCACATGCATCTGTAAAATGGGAGAGTGACTTCTGATATCCCTTCCAGCTCTCGGTCTGTGACACTGTCCATGCTACTTCTCCCCCTCTTTGAGGTGGGTTCGGAGCTTGGGGACACAAAAACACCACCAAGGTAGACAGAGAAGAGCCATGAGCCCAAAGAGTTTTTCTAAAGGAGAGAGAATATGACACAACCAACCCCATGTTAAAAATGGATGGTAAAAGAGGGCTCCCTTCCCTCCTCAATGAATGAGGAGGGCCCCACGGCCTGAGCCCGAGGTGCCTCGAAAATGTCCTGCCAAAAGAAAATCGATTGAAGGGGGTGGGAGAAGCCTGTCTGAAAATGAGCAGAAGAGAAGGAATTCCAGAGGAAAACTCAGGCAAGCCAGGCAGCTTTGAATGGAACATGGGGAATTTATTAAATGCTTAAAAAAAAAAAAAAAAGCAAGCTGTATGTAATAGAGATGTGCACTTTGCCACAGAATTCTTATTTTCAGTTGTCTGTTAAATGTGGAAATCTTCGTTATTTTGGTGGTCGCTAAATTTAGAATTAAAAGATTCAAGCTACAAGATAGGAAAAGGATTTAAACTATAAAACATAATATGTTATAATTATATAGTATGTAATATATTCTATAATATAATTCTATAAAAATAGAAAACAACGGTCATTTAAGCTACAGAATAGAAAGGAACTGGGTGCTTTGGGGTGGTGATGGGTTCACCCTCATTGGGGCACACCGAGCAAGGCCCGGATGGCCAATGAAGCAGGTGTGGCAGTGAGTGGGAGGCCTTTTGGGTTGACCATCTTTTTGCCTTCAGTGTCTCTGATTCTGTGAAACCGTTCAGCCCGACCTAGGAATGAGAAAACAGGGTTCTTCAGAGGAAGTGGCATGTGTTGGTGGCCGGGGTGGGGCCAGAGCTGTTTTTACCCTCTGCCACATGATAAAGCATTGCGCACAGACTTCTCTCATGCCCCCTCCCCTCTTTCAAGGAAGTGACAACCCTGCCTATTTTTAAAAGGATACAAATAAATACCGGTGGAAAGCCGTTCAGATTTGTTCTGTCCAACCAAGTGAATCTTAACCCTGTTCTCACATTTTTTATTTTTGTTTCTGTGAAGAGTTATTTTTAAAGAACAAGGGCGGAGTAAGTCAGTAGTATACACTGCCCAAGGTGGCTCGGGGGGTGAGATGGGGAAAGAAGCCATGCTGTGCGCTGGGAGTCCTTAACGTTCTGTGTGTCGTCGACTCTTTGGCGGCCAGGGGACCCCAACATGTTTATAGGCTTAAAATAAAATATACAGGACTGCAAAGGTTATATTGAAAGACAATTATCAAAAAAAATTTTTGAAGGTCATGGACCCCAGGTGAAGAACCCCTGCTCCACATGAAGAGGCATCTAAATAGTTAATGGCCTGGGAGTTTTTAACCCTCTTGCTACCATACGCTGCTGGGACCCCTGTGATGTCTTGCGTGCTGATAACTGGTGCTTCATTCATTCACGTGGTTCAGTTGTTTTTCAGTCGTGTCTGACTCCTAATGGTAAAGATATGGAGTGGTTTTGCCATTTCCTTTTCCAGCTCATTTTACAGATAAGGAACTGAGGCAAACAAGGTTAAGTGACTTGCTCAGGGTCACACAGCTAGTAAGTGGCTGAGGCCAGATTTGAAGTCAGGAAGATGAGTCTTCCTGCCTCCAGGCCTGGTGCTCTGTGCACCGTGGTGCCCCCAGCTGTCCTTGTGCACACCCCTAATGCCGGTATTTTCTCTTGTCTCTCGTCACAGTTGGTAACTTCAGCCAAGCACAACTTTCTTCAGGACAGTTTATATAAAGAAGGAATCTTAATTGTGTGGGACCCCTCTCCATACCATTCTGAGATCCCAGAGGTAAGTGGGAATTTGACTGAAGGAATTGGCACTGTGTCCCCTGGGCAAGAGCAGAGAGGATGTAATGGGAACGTGATACCTGTCCTCAAGTAGCCCACCAGGGCTGTCCTAAGGAAGAGGGATTAAGCTTGTTTTGCTTCCCCCAGACGACTGAGCGTGGGAGGGAGGGAGCTGTCCAGAAATAGAGTGACTTTCTTGCAGTTTAGTGGGTTCCCTCTCACTGGAAAGTTGTCAGACCAGTCCTTTAGAACCGATATTCCATTAGGGTTTACAGTGACCACTAAAGTGTTAAAGCTACATTCACAGAAAGATCTTGTCTGTCCCCAGGCGTGGAGGAAGGGCATTTACAACTAAAAGAAATTCCACGATCAATAATAATGGAGCTAGAAGTGGATGGGACCTTGGAGGTCATCTCGTCCAACAGATAAAGAAACTGAGGGCCAGGAAAGTGAGGTGACTTAGAGTCATAGGATCCTGGCTCTCGAGCTGAAAGAGACACGGAAGCCTTTTAGCCCAATCCTCTCATTTTACAGAGGAGGAAACTGAGGCCCTGGGAGATGACGTGACTTGCCCAGTGTTACACAGGAAGCATGTGGAATAGCCAGGATTCAGTTGATGTACATTTATTAAGAGCCAAGCTCAGTGCTAAGTGGTAGGGACACAGAGACAAATTTCCAACAGTTCCTGTCCTTAAGGAGCTTACATTCTAACTGGGGAGACAACGCACTCACACGTGGGTATAGAAAAGAAATGTGTAGTGTAGATACAAGACCAGTGTTCTCTTTTTCAGTGGTACAAGAAACCCGACTACAATTTCTTTCAAAACTACAAGCAATATCGCAAAGAGAACCCCCACCAGCCCTTTTATATCCTCAGCCCCAAGATGCCGTGGGAACTTTGGGACATCCTTCAGGAGAATTCCCCAGAGGATATTCAGCCAAATCCCCCATCCTCAGGGATGCTTGGTGAGTAACTTCCAAGAGGTTTGCCGCAGTGTTGGATTCTGGGTAGCCTTCCCATTGTTCAGTTTCCAAATATTCACTGAGCACCTAATATGGCCAATATGCTATGCTGGGTGCTTTAGGGGAGGGGGGAATATGGTCGATTAGTCGATCAATAAGCATTTATTAAGCTTTTACTATGGGCCAGGCCTTAGGCTTGGTGCTAGGGATACAAAACAAAAGAATCGAACAGTTTCTGTCCTCAGAGAGTTTACTCCGTGGTGCTCATAGGCTAGCAATGAGTAAGTATCCCATAACTAGTCTACAATTTAGGGTAAGATAAGCCCTACATGGGACAGTCAGCGGGCCAGAGTGGATAGAGTGCCTGCCTTGGAGTCAGGCAGGCACCGGTGCCAGCCCTGCCTTTGGCACGTAATGAATGGAATCCTCCGAGTTCCTGAGAGAGGCACCCGTTTGGGCTGGTATTTACTGAGCCCCCATCATGTATCAGAGGTGACTGGTACCAGGGACAAAAGATAGAAATGAAACTGTCCCTGGGAAGGGTGGGTGGGTGCTCCCCTCTAGGGGAGGGTCTCAAAGGCTGAGAGAATTTTGACCAGCAGGGCAGAGGAGCAGGCGTCCCAGGAAGGAGGTCGAAGGAGTGGGAAAGTCCAAAGGGAGCTTGGGGAATGGCGGTCATGTTATCAGATGCTGGAAGGAATCTTCGAATCTAATCCCCTCATTTTACAGAGAGGGAAACTGCGGCCCATGGAAGTTCAAGGCATCGCATAGGGTTGTGGACCTAGAGTTGAAAGGGGCTTCAGAGACCATGTATTTTACTGGGGCAGAAAGTGAGGTCTGGAGATGAGGAGGCTTGCTCTCTTTCACAAAGAGAGTGAGTAGTGAAGCTTGGCTTTGCACCCAGGTCCTCCGGTTGTAAACCCAGTGCTTTTCCCACCATCCCACGATGCCCACCAAGATGCATCGAGTTTGGACAAAGAGGAGGCCATGGGGGGCCATGAAAGCCAAAGTCTTGAATGTACTCTTGGGGGCCCATATGGTCTTCCTCCTCTTTTCTGATGCCTCAGATTCTCCTAAAAATTGGAACGATTCCCATAAGTAGCATGTTTGATTCTAGGAGAATTCATGAGAGAAATTGGGGTCACACCCATGGTAGTTTTCTTAATGCTCTGGTGCATGGACTTCTGGCCATCCTTGGGGGTAGTTTGGGCTGGGAGTAGTTAGGAATTTACCCTCAGATCTTAGGAATGCGACTGGTCCCTCAATCCCTAGGTATCAGGTCCCGTGTTAGGCCTGCTGGTGGAGACCAGAGCAAAGAGCTGAGTCTGTGGGCCTTAGGTCCTTGGGAAGACAAGACTGAGGAATTCAGGCACTTAGTGCTCCATCCCCTACTGTCTCCCTGTCATGGTCCTCTCTGCCCTTTTCAGTGCTGGCACACTCCTCCTTTTCACTGCCTCCTGCCCTTCTGGCTTCAGGTGCTCTCGGAGCCCCCTGATTCTGCCATCCTAGTCTGGGTGCTGCCCGATGTCTGCCCTTCCTTTCACTGCCTGGTACAGTGGTTAGCACGCTGGACGTGGAGTCAGGAAGGCCTGGGTTTGAATCCTGCCGTAGAAACCTACTAGCTGTGTCACCTGGGGCAAGTGGCTTCACCACCCTCCTCCTCAGTGTCCTCCTCTGTAAAATGGGAGGGATTGGCTTAGAAGGATTCTGAGGTTCTTCCTCTCTAGCTCCTATGAGCCTGTGTCTCCAAACTCTGTTCTTTCTGTCGTGCCGTGCTGGTTTTCTGTGATTGGGGATTCATTTTGTAACATTCGTTCTCTCTCTCTCTCTCTC